GGAAAGAGTCCATAAATTAGACATAATTTTTAATACCCCAGCAGTCCTTTATAATATAAATACTATACCCAACCAAAAAAAATCTCTCACAATCAATAAATAAAATCCTTTGGAACCTGAATTTTCAGCTGGCTGATGGAACGATGCAGGCAAGTGTGCTGTAGAACGTGTAAAGGAAAAATTCAAGCCCCTGATGGTGCAGAGCTGGGAGAATGGAGAGCAACATCTTATCACATGTTATATAGTGTCATGATTTATTTTATTAATGCCTATAGGTAATCTTATGGCACTGAAATGAGTTGAAAGATTCCCAATCATTGCAAGGGGCATTAGATTAGACCAATTCTAAGGATGGACCAATTCTAATTAGCTTCCCAAACCTTTAAACACAGGAAGACAGGTCTGGAATTAGTCCGCTGGGCCATGGAGGTCAGGCGCTGCATCTGCAGATCGTCATAAGAACATAAAAAATGCCCTGCTGGGTCAGAACATGGGTCAATCCATAGGCCAGGATCCTGCATCTCACAGTGGCACAGAGAAAATGCTATTGGGGGGAAGGGGGAGAAGTGTGGGGAGGAAAGACTATTTATGTAGGGCCTATCCAAACTGATCTGTCCTCTGACCCTCTTTCCTTACCACTTCAGGCATTTAAAGGCCTAGGAAGTCCTAACTTGGAGGTTTTCACTGAAGGAATCCCATGCTCTCATGTTGTTTCACTGATTCAGTGCTTATGCTGGAAGTTGCGCAGGTGCTTGAGTATTTTATTGAACTAGAACAGACTTAAGCACATAAGTACTTCACTCAGCAAACACCTGATCCCTACATACCAAGAGTGTGAAACATGTGGCCCTCAGGCTGGCCCTGACCCATGGAGCCCTAGAATCTGTCCGGGTCTTGGACTGACCCTGTGTTTGGGCCATGTTAGGGCTTGTGTTCAGGGCTGGTCTGGCAGGGCACTGCATGCAGCACATGCCCCAGGCTGGTGCCTTGTGCCATGTGCAGCTGATGCGGCCAGTCCATCCCTACACATCATCTGCAGCATGCAGCCCCACTCTTGGGCTTGTTCTGCATGCAGTACAGGGAGCCAACAAGAGGTGAACACTGTATGCGGCACCCCGCCAGACCAGCTTGGTTTGCTAGTTCCAGCGTGCAGATGACCTGGGACCAGATCCAGACTGATGCCAGAATTAGGACACAGGGCCAGTCCAGCAGGGCACTGCATGCAGCACATGCCCCAGACCCTCTGCACTGCGTGCAGCATCCATGGTGCCTGTCCACACAAATTAGACACTCACGCTATGTACCAGGCTAGTGCTTCCTATATAAACCAGGGGTCAGCAGCCTAGTCCATGGAGCCACTGGATCAGATCTGCAGACAAGAAGCTTTGGCAGCATTCAGTGGCTGGGGGCTCCAGCAGCATTTGGCAATGGGGACTTCTGCACCACAGCTGGAAAAGCAGAGGCAGTGGCAGCATCAGAATTATAGTGCATGCCTTGTATGCCTTGAGCTGGGTCATTCTGGCCTGCAGCTGATGACTGTCTTAAACTACAATTCACCATTAAGCCATGTGTGTTCTTCCTCCCCTCCCTCAGAAAGCCTCCTGTCTGTCCACTACTTGCTCACTATGTCAGCTCTGCACTTGAGCCATGCTGTAGTGGTATTCCATGTAGATTCCCCTCTTCTTTCTAAGATCTCTTTCTAGTTCCTACATCTGACTGACTTGCTCTCCTTTACCTTTCTGGATCCTACAGGCATGCATTTGCTCTACACATCAGATAAAAGCAATAGAAGGACTAATGAGCTGAACTGCCAGATTTTTCTGTGGTGGTGAGGTTTCCACAGCAGCTGTCTCTGCTCTTTTGCGCACACTCTGTGGGTTACAACAGGGTCCTTGGAACAGGTGCTCCACCTGCCTAGCTGTAAACAAAGCACACACAGCAGGGCAAGGACAATGATTCCCACAGTTAGGGGGCTGCCTTTGCTGGTTGCTCAAATAATGTACCCCTGTCCTCCAGAAAAGCTTTCCCCTACCAGCTGGACTTTTTAGAGTCTCCTGAAGTCTCCATTGTACCAGCCCTAGTTTTGATCAGAGGCTCATACCACACCTGGATGGCATTAGCAAGCTGCCCCTGCCACTATGAACAAGCATAATAAACTCAGCAGCTCAATGCCAGGTTTAAACACCTTCTAAAAAGTTAGTTCAACAAAAGATCACCAGGCTCCAGTGCAAACTCATAGCTCTTGCCCTCATCTTACAATCCCTGCATTACCTAGTCACTCAGCATCTACAAAACACAAGATGCTGCATCTCTCAAGATCATATGGAAGTGCAATACCTTTGCAGTGCATTGATTGGTCAACAGAATGTAACATTATCTCACCTGGATGAAACAGCCTGCTGTCTGAATTAATCTTTAACTGGGGCCCTGCTTGAGGCAAGTCTATTGCATCTGTGAATGTGTCATTAAAACCAGCCGGCAGAGTACACGAGCCAACCACTTCACATTAATGAAACTCTTTCTTGTGTGAAACTTTACAACGTTTATCATGTCTGAATAATGAATGGGAGGTTCAGAAACTGTGAAAATGCTCCTTACTTGTGAGATATGATTGTGGGTGGTAGCTGCTTGTGATCCCCAGCCAGGATGCACTTTCTGGCTTTCAGCAGAGGTATCCAGCAGCTTGCTTCAAGGGCCTGGGCACATTCATCGATCACTACCAGATCAAAGTGATTTTCAGGAAGTAGCTTCAGGGGGCCATCAGGGGAAGCACCTAAATAAAAAAAGAATATAAGCTCAAAAACTTATTTCTTTAAAGATCATCATCACACACAAACACACGCAAATTAAACTGTGGTTGTTAAAAGCCGGTAAAATCTACAGTGAATTACAAGTTCAGATCTCCAGTCCAGGCAAAAAGAAAATGGACTTCTTTTTTTACCATCTTCTGATTATGCTTCTTGCTTTGGCATCTATGCCCAAAGGCATCCAAGAATCTTAAAAACAACAACAAAACACAGATGATAAATAGAACAATATGGTCTAATAACTCATCAGAGCAGAAGCAAAGTAAAAATACTAACGAACACCCTCTTTCCTTCTGCTCGCTCAAACAAACGAAACTATCCACAACCAAAAGCAAAAGGGAAACAGACATGAGATCTGCCTTCACATGCTCTGAGATACTTTGGTGCAAGGGGTGGGAAGGACCTACCTTTATTATAAAAGACCTCATCTAATATACGTGTCCTCTCAACAATGCATCATAGAGCTGCTAGCAACACCAACTGCACTGATCCTGCACACCAACTTCTGAGAGCATCTCTGATAGTGTACAGTACAGGATGCTGTAAACAGCAATTTGGGCATGGAACTTTTCAGGTCTTTTCATTATGTATGTTCACTGTTGAGAACAGGGTTCCCCACCCTAAGTCAGGCACTACCAGAGTCCAGTCACAAAAATAATTTGATGCCTTTGTGGGCCATGGATCAGAGCTGCACATAAGAGGCACTGAAAATAATTGAGAAATAAATAACAAAAAAAGATGGAAAAGAGAGAACAGGAGAGAATTTGAAAGCCAGCTGTGGCAGACAAGTGCTTTGTTATTCAGAGCAACAACATTAGTTTTTGAAAGATCCTGTGCTATTGTAAAACTGATGAATGCCACTCTGATGAGATATGATTTAACTTTCTTATTATCCAGCCCTGTCTGTACAATCTGGGATCACACCAGGCACACTGGATTTATGCAAGTTTGTCAGCATCAATAGAATTCATTTTTCTTAATCCAAACTTTCTTGGTATATATTTATCCAGTACAGTTCTGTGAGACATGTAACTTGATAACGGTAGTTGTAAGATTATCCAGATCCATGGTTCTCGATCTTTTTAAGCTCAAGAAACCCCTGGAAAATGCCAGCTCTTAGCTTTCACTCATTTTTTGACTATGGAAAAATAATGGATCAATCCTCTGTTGCAAAGAACTGAGACAACAGGTCAGAATATTTTGCCACTGCAGATTCTGATCTGAAATCTCTGGGTTTATCTTATGAATCACGTGTAGGTGTTTGCACACCTAACAGTGCTAATATTGAATGGACCCCCATGGCACCTTTAAAGGATTTTGCAGCACCTCAAGGTACCATGGCATTCTGGTTCAGAATCACTGATGTCAATGAAGCCCACACAAGGCATAACTGTACAGGCAGATACACCCTATTCCTAACTGGCTGCTCTAGCTGGACTAAGTCACTGAATTCCCATTAACTAAAAGGTCACTTATGTCCCCAAGGAGAGCAGTGAGTCAGCTTTCCTCCTGTTTGGCTTAGCAACAGAGAGCAGTTTGCATGAATAAATCCTGCTGAGCTCATCCGGAAGGATGCCACACTGGTCTGGACCTCTGGTGGTATTGATGCCTCAGCCAAGACCTTTGTAAAAGTCACAGTTATTCTGGATTTGGTGTATTGATTTACTGGTTCTTTTTACAATGGTTTTTTTGAGAAGGCCAAGTTCCTTCCATTTCACAACTGCTAGCAAGCCAGCAAAGTTGTATGATTGCAGATGGAAAAATCTACTGCACTGGTAAGCATGGACTGGTAGATTTACTAAAAAGAAAAAGTCAGCACAATTTCCTTTATGTAGAGTTACAGCTAAAATGGAGACACTGGGTGCATTCAGATGAGCACACACACACCTTTTGTGGCATCTCAAAGGAGTTTGGGATGCTGCAAGACGCACGCCGGAAACAAAAAAAACATTCCCCGCACTGCAAACGTGCAGCGCAGGCTCAAAATCTGATACCTGGAGATCAAGGTATCAAAATAAAATATGGGGAAAAGAAGAAGGTTAAGCAGAGGCTCGAGTCCTCCACAGAGTCACTCTGGCAGCCAGCCAGAGCATCTCTATGGCTGCCCCTTGCCCCGATGCTGCAGCATGTGCAGGGCAAGGAGAGCTGCAGGCTGCAGCAACCCAGATGCAGGCCCAAGTAGGGATGGGCGGTGTAGGGGACTGGAGTCAGGGCTGTGTGGCTAGAGGGTGCCAGCACGGGGGCAGCTTGCGCTGCCAGGCTGGGCCGGTTCCATGGCAGCAGGACCCGGTGCAGCATGCAGGGGTCATGTGTCGTGCCAAGTTGGGTCCTGCCATCGTGGAACTGGCCTGGCCTGATGGCGCAAGCGGTCCCAGTGCTGGCAGGACCCGGCTCGGTGCAACACGCAGTCGCTGCACGCTGAGCCGGGCCTGCTGCCATGGAACTGGCCCAGCCTGACAGTGCAAATGGCCCCAGTGCTGCCTGAAGCAGCACAGCCCCACACCGAGCTGTACCAGCCCCAGGACAAGCAGCACAGGCAGCACTGCCTCTGAGCCACCAGGGAAGTGCCGTGCCGCTGGGAGCTCTGGCTGCAGCAGGCCCTGAGCGCCCCATGGCCACTGCTGCGGGGAAGGTGAATTGTGGGCCATGCAGGGGGGGTGAGGGGGAGGAGAGGTGGGCTTGTGGCAGGGCTGTAGCCCCAGGATGAGACCTGCTGGCAGGACCTGTTGCTGCAGGGGCCTTTGTCCCCACATCCTCATTCGTGAAGGGCTCAGGGGAAGCTCTAATTGTTCTATGATAAGAAAACCAAAAGCACGCATCAAAATGTGTAGATATTTAGAATTTGTTTTATTATGATGATAGAGACACTGGTATGCGCCCAAAATGCTTTAACATTGTAAATATATCAATAGAACATTGCCCAACTGATCTCTCTCTCTCTGTCTCATTTTAATTGTGAAAGAACATGGATTTGGGGGTTTTTAAAAGAGTGAATTTGGGATTTTTTTTATCAGGGATTTTGCAGTTTTAAATAGGGACCACCAGAATTCCTGCTAGGGAGGCAAGTGGCAGGACCCAGGCAAAGGAGCCTGCTCAGGGCTGGCACCCAGGACCCAGCTGGAAGTGGCTGAACTCCTGGCCACTTGAGGCCAGGAGGACATGCTTTGACAGTTCAAAGCAGGCCACCACACCCAGAACGTCTTCCAGGTGATAGCTGCCCAGATGGCAGGGCAGTGGCACACATGACAGTAGTGCCGCACAGAGGCCAACTATGCAGCCACAGCCCACTGGCAGCTGGCCCAGAGGTGCAGATGCCTCTGCTGCACCCATGCAGTCACCATCCGGGTCTGGCAGGCACCCAGCCTTGGGGCCACATGCTGTCGCAGGTGGCAGCAGCCTCCTGCCAGGCAGCAGCCCCCACTGCCAGACTGCTGCAGTGGGTAGAGGGGGCAGGGGCCACTCCAGGTTAGGGCTGCTTCAGCAGTCCAGCTGCTACAAGGGCTAGTGTCCCCAGGTACCAAGTGGCCAGGCCTCAGAAGCTCCTGAGGGCAAGTAGCCCTGAGCTGCTCTCCAGGGCAGGTTTTTATACTACTGGGGCCAGCACAGGTGCTGGTCCCAGGCGCTAGCTCCCCCTGGCTGCAGATCAGGGAGGAGTTGGGTGGGGTTATTTTGCCCCAAGTGGCACAACTTGGTCCACAGCAAAGTGCATGTCCAGGCACATGTGCCGAGGCAAAAATCCCTGGCTCAAATTTGGGCCGGTCCTATTTGAGCTGCTGCAAGTGCATGTGCCTGCATGTGTGGATGCGCCCACTGACTCCAAACAAATAAAGGAATTGGGGAGGGAGGAGGGATGGTGAGGGCAGAGGCTGGGTTTCATGGATATCCTGTGAAATTCTTCACTCTATTCACACTTTCCTTCAGCAAATATTTCTTGAACAATCAATATTTACACATGGTATTTGTTGCCATGTTGAGCTCTGCTGTAGGAAATCTCTTTGGCAAATGCTTATCTATAAGCATTTGAATAGTCCTGTTGATTTTGCTGGATGCCTTATGTGCTTAAAGACATCTTATGTGCCCACAGGCTTGGTATGTTCAATACTTAAGTTACTTTCATAAATCGTAAGGTATTATTTTTGTTCCTTGGTTGGGTGATTATTGCATATATTGTGTTGGTCAGTCACATAAATGATCTAATCAGGAAACAGAAATGCCATGTGATTCAAAATACTGAGTAGCAGAGCTCAAATTTCAGATAGCTAATGTTATTCTCCAGAAATACACATCAAAATAAATAACCAGTACAATGCAAAAAGCAAAATTTAAGAAGCAAATGTAGAGTCTAAAACTCATTCTTGGATACTGTTCATATTAAAAGCCCATTTTAATTGGAGCACTGGCATTACTGAAGTTGAAATGTCTCTGAAAAGTGAGCCCACATGTAGGGCTGAAAACTGCTTTTGTGCTTACAAAAGAATCAAATATTTGTGAATCTCCTCCCTACAGCTGTTTCATAGCTGGTAGGGATGGAAGGGACCTGAGCAGATCATCAAGTCTGAACCCCTGCCATGGGCAGGAAAGGATGCTGGGGCCAAACAACCCCGGCAAGGTGTCTATCTAGCCTCCTTTTGAAGACCCCCAGGGTAGAAGCGAGCACCACTTCCCTTGGAAGTTGGTTCCAGATCCTAGCCGCCCTGACTGTGAAGTAGTGCCTCCTGATATCTAGCCTGAATCTACTCTCCGTCAACTTATGGCCATTATTCCTTGTTACTCCCAGTAGTGCTCAGGGGAACAGGGACTCCCCCATAGCCTGCTGGTCTCCCTTGGCCAGTTTATAGACGGCCACCAGATCCCCTCTCAGCCTTCTCTTGTGGAGGCTAAACAGGTTCAGGTCTCGTAGCCTCCGCTCGTAGGGCCTGCCCTGCTGTCCCCTGATCATGAGAGTGGCCCTCCTCTGGACCCCCTCGATGTTGTCCACATCCCTCCTGAAGTGCAGTGCCCAGAACTGGATGCAGTACTCCAACTGCAACCTGACCAGTGTCGCATAGAGGGGGAGGATCACCTCCTTGGTCCTGCTTGTGATGCATCTGTGGATGCATGACAAGGTGCGGTTAGCCTTCATGACTGCGTCCCCACATTGGTGGCCCATGTTCATCTTGGAGTCTATAATGACTCCAAGATCCTTTTCTGCCTCTGTGCTGATGAGAAGGGAGTTCCCCAGCCTGTAGGTATGCTGCTGGTTCTTTCTCCCTAGGTGCACTACCCTGTACTTGTCAGTATTGAATCAGTTTGAGTCAGTTTGTTCAGCTTTACTTCCAAACCTGTTCTGGGCACTCTCTTCCTGTTCCTATATCTAAGTGAACTGGCTTCAATCCATCTGTAAGCCTCAGAGAAGAGCTCGTGTCATTTAGAGATCTGTAAAATGCAACATATAATTCTGTATAAACATTGCATTTATAAGGAGCTGATCCTCATAAAGACCAGGACATTTCACAGGCTTGGCTGGCTGATTTATAAGCAGCAGAGGAGAATGTGTGTTGAGAGGTCTTTGTAAAAATTACTTTTCACAGAATGTTTTTATTGCCTTGATAGCAGAGCATTCTTGCTTTGGTAGGTAGCACTCTGGTTATAAAGGGCAAGCATTATTATGGTATTATTATGGTTTATTAATTGTATTGCAGGAACACGACATGACCCCAGATGAGATCAAGATCCCATTGTAGAAGGCCTCATACAAACCCGTTGTGAGACCCTGTCCCTGCCCCAAAAAGCTTACAAGATACATAATCAATACAGACAAAGTAGGTGTCAGGTCAGAGGAGGGTTCAGTGCAATTGGTCTATCACTATCAAAAACACCATGAAAGAAGTTAACACAGAGACATTGGGATTACAAATTCTTCGTCTGCAGGTCACAATCACAACAGGTGCCAGGGAATCACAACCATCCTGTCTTTCCTACATTGCTAAGTGGTAAGAGAGGGGGCACAGCCAGAATGGAAGACAGGTGCCGTATGAAAAAGCTAATAATTACAGAACTATGTTAAAAATGCAAGACTCCCATCTATTCTGGGTTTATATGGGCATTATGAAGCATATAACCTCAACACACAGAGATCTACTCTGTTCAGTGCTGGTGAGACTTCACCTGCAGTACTACATCCAGTTTGGGGCACTACACTTCAAGAAAGATATGGACAAATTAGAAAGAGTCCAGGATGACAACAAAAATTAACAGATACCTAGAACACATGGCATCTAGAGTAAGATTGGAAGAACTGAGATTATTTAAAGGACAGAAGACTGAAAGGAGATTTGATAACAGTCTTCAAATTAGAAAAGGACTATGATAAAAGAAAATTCAGATCAATTGTTCTCTATGTCCAGTGGGAGAGAGGCCAAGAAGTAACAGATTTAAATTGCAATGAGAAAGATTCAGGTTGGATATTAAGGAAAACTTTTAAGCCACAAGGGTGGCTGAGCACTAAAAGAGGTTACCTACAGAAGTGGTGGATTCTTTGCGACTAGAAGTTTTTAAAATGTAGGTTAAGCATGGCATGATCTTGTCTTCAGCAGAGGGTTGGACTAGATGACTCGAGTTTATGTTACCTCATCCATTTTGTAACTAGCAAAGTGATTCTAATAGCAAAGCAGGTAACCAGACCAAAGTATTTTGCATGTTTCTTGTTCTGTTACAGATTACCTGCAAGAAACCCTCCAAACCACATAAAGCGTCATCATGCACTACTACTTCAGACTGGTTGTCTCTAACCACACCCCTTTTGACCTAATATTTGTGCAAAGAAGAAAACCATGTCTCTAACCTGTGTTTGTGGCAAGAACAACATCAGCCTGGGTAAGGACTGTAGTCATAGCAGTTTCTTCTCGCTCCTTCAGCTCCTTTCTCAAGGTCTTTATCTCATTTAGAAAATGGCTTCTCTCTCCCTTGTCTTGAGTCCTTTTGGTCTTGGCCTGCAACATGGAAATCAAAAATTAAAATAAAAAAACAAACAAACCCAGAGCCTCTGGTCCAACGGACTTGATCCAACACACTTGCTTCCCTCAGAGCCTTTTAGTGGCCCATTTAATAATCAAAACAGCAGACATTGGCTTAAGTGCAGTTTGGCAGATTCTACTCAATAGCACTCCATTAAAAATAAGACTGCTCTGGGAACCAAATGTAAATGTTTTACTCTCTTGACTATTATGCGAGTAAGGCCTGCAGTACAGAATCTAGAACTTTATGACAACATGATCCATGGCCCAATCTTGATCTGTTCCAGCTAGCACACTTGTGTCCTGAAAGGCACTTTTCCCCAATTCAACGTAGCTTCCCATACAGAATGTGGCTCTATGGTTTTTGAAAAGAGACCTTAGACTGATAAACTCATACAATCAAAACCGACACAGAAAAATCAAGGCTTGACTGCTGATCAAACAGTCCAAATGCATTCTTCTGCATAATGATCCCTTGCAGAGGTTAGTCAAGCACTTCTCAATACCAGTCCTCCTTTTTCAGCTTTAACCAGCTGATGATTAAACTCACAGGTCTGCAGATGCTACTATCACAGACCTTAATTGGGGACACAGATGATAAAGAGCAGGTAAAACCCTCATACCTCCCCTGCCCCTTTGCCCCGTGCTCCTCCAGGAAGGAAATGACTGTAGAGGGGAGACAGAAAAGGACACGAAACAACACTAAGCTGGACCTCATTCTTTCCCCTCCCTCCTCTCCAATCACTAGCTGATATAGTTGGCTTGGCAGACACGGAGGGAGCAATCTGAACAAGGCCAAATGGACAGCCAAGGCCTTACTCCTTTGCCAAAGTAAGAGGAAAACTGAAGAAGAGCTGAAAGGCTCCAAAAAACAATTTGTTCCTTGCTCAGTTTTTGGAGTGCTGAGGCCATGAGCTGCTTCTTGCTCAGGGCACACAGTAAAGCTAGAAGAACCTTTTAAATAAAAATGCTAAATGATTCTACTTCTCCACCTTAGGCAACAGCTCTACACTTTTTAATAATTGCATATGAGCATGTGCAAGTGATTCAGAGCAATCCCTTTGAACAGAACAATCAAGGGTTTTGGGGGGTTTTTTAGTTATAAGTTTGAAAAAAAAAAGCCCATCGGTTCCCAGAATATCCACAGCTAAACTTTGGTGGTTGCGATAGACTGATGAAGCTACCTGCCATTGTAATTCATCTTGGAAAGGCACCAACCTCTTCCTCAGCAATTATGCTCTCCCAAATGGAAAACAACTTTGGAAATGGTTTATCTCCCTGGAGGCGAAAACTTATTAGAAGAAAAGCCTGGAAAGACTACAAAAATGCCATTCACCCATACCGCTGCAGTAAGAAGTTTGGTATGGAAGTGAGCAAGTGGATGGAGAGCAAACCTGGTTGTAACTAGTGATGCCAAATTCCCTTCCTCACAGAACTTCAGGAAGCAGAGAGGATTTAAGAAAGTCTCAGGTTCCAGTACATTGTGCTTGAACATTTGCTCTGCAAAGGGATCTGGTTAAACTAAAACAGCTAATAAACTATCTAGTATTATTGCACCTAGATTTCTGCTAATGTCCTTAGGATGCAAAGAGCCAAGTGGATCTCAGCACAGACAGCAGTCAAGAGAGCACCACAGAGCAAAGGCAACATCAAAAGCCTGGCAGCACAGCCCTAAGGAACCCTCTGGAGTACAGAGTGAGCATGCAGGAAGTCTGAATTCTCTTTACCATTATCCTTGTCTTTAAATCCTGCACATAAAATCCATGTACCTAAGGGGACTCATAAGAAGTCATTATTATTGCATTACCACAATCAGGGCTCCATGATGATAAGCACTGTAGAGTAATACAGTCCTTATCCCAGAAAGGTTACAGTCTAGATAGACAAGGCAGAGAAAGTATAGAGTGAACACAGCGGTGATTTTCAAATATGGTGTTAATTCCATAATTATTCTGGAGAGAGGGGATTTTGGGAGATGCAAAGGAAAGGAGAAGAAGCAAAGAAAAGAGTTGGTGAAAAGGACGAGGCAGAGGACAGAAAAAATAAGGGAGGAAGGATGAGGCAAGTCTGTAAAGCTATAATCAAGCCATGTATATAACCTAGGGCAGTCAAACCTAGGTGGTCTCACAAGTAAATGAGATACAACTACTCATTTTGAAAAGAAGATCTTATGGAAAATCTTAGGTGCATAGATAGTATGATCACAACACAAGAATGGCACATAGGAAGCAGTAATGAGTTTTATCAATTATACAGAAACTTAACCCTGACATAGGAAATCAGAGAACAACTGCTATAGCAGCTGGGGCACTTTGAAACAATGGAAGCGATCTGGACACCAAAGAAAGCGCTCCCCAGGGTACTGGAGGGAAGAAGGGCACCTAGAACAGTGGTTCTCAGCCTTTTGTGCCTTATGTCCCACCAACCGTTTTGTCAAAAAACCCTGGTCCCACCATAATGAAAACAAATCCCCACAAAATTGCACTATTTGAGATATCTGTTGATTCATCTATCTGAAGTGCGAACAACTTTGATTTTTTCAATCAGGCAATGACTTGAAGTCCCACCTACACAACCTTCAAGTCCCACTGGTTGAAAAACACTGACCTAGAAGACCAAGATGAAGATGACTAGGTGATGTAGTGTCAGACCTACAGAAATTAAATATGGACGATTGGAGGACGAAGGTACACAACAGCCAGGAATGGAGGAAGATAGTGGAGACAGCCAAGGCCCTCTAGGGCCTATAGTGCTACTGTTATTATTATTATTATTATTGGAAGGATGAGAACAAGAAGGACGGGTGGAGGGACGCTGAAGTAAAGATGGTCTGAGGGAGGGAGCAGGAGACTGCCTCAATATGGTACCTTGTTCATTTTCAGCCAATACATGTTTGATCTTATTCAGTATTTCCAAGCTTCCTGCTATGGTATACGAGTAGGAGCTAGGAAGCTACCTTAGTGCCTATATGAGTGTTAAAGTACACCGTGAAAGCTTCATAACATCATGCCACTGCTCATAAATTTACACTGCGGTAGCATGCAAAAGCCTCAGCCAAACCAAGACCCCATTTTGCCAAACACTTTCAAACAGACGCACAAAGATGGGCCCTGAAGAGAAAGAACTTGAATTTTTTTAAGGTAAATGAAAGGTGGCAGCATAAATCCACTAGGTGAAGGAAGAGGAGAAGATAAATCTGGAGGATTTCATAGGTGTGTGACCCAGTCAATAAAACCACAGGGTGTACTGAGCCTTTTGAGTCCGTATTTCAGAATTTGAGCATGTATATGTCTTTTTAAATACCTCCCCATAGCAGTCATTTTGGAACACAGGCCATCAGCTGCTTGAGGTCCCCTTTTCAGGAGGAAGCAGAAAGGAAACCCAAGTACCCATGAATCCCTGTTTTTCTCTCAATTTTCCACCCTGTTATGGGGAATCACAAGACCCAAAGTACACATCAGTCACTATCTCCCCATTTATTCAACTCACCCCCAAGCAAAGCAGCAAATAACTTGCAAATTGGAAAGACATGAAATGGCTTAAGACATCATAAAAAAAGCTTATTAGATGTGAAAACAACCCAAGTCCTTGTCAATGCAGATACTAAGCAATCCATTCATTTTATGAGACTGTTCCCTGGCTGAGGATACTTATTAACCATGGAGCTCAGTCCTCCTTCTGAGGTCAACCTGCAGAAACCTTAAGACTCCCAGGAAGCCTGCCCACCAAGAAAGACTCCTTTATAGCTCCCAGATGCTTGTACTGTAAGTATGTTTCAAGACAGCAGCAGGA